GCTTTGAATATATACATCAATTGGTGAGTCAGATCAAAAGGCAAAATGATAAAAAAATTAAATTTGCTATAGCGAAAGGCTCTGATGTCACTCTTTGCAAGATAATATGATGACCATTGACAAAACCATTTACAAATATCTATACAAATAAATTAAATTGAAGTGTCTGTCTGTAAAATATAAAACTGGTTTCTATTATGCTCAGAATTTTCTTAAGACATACATAATAATAATAATAATTTATTTATTATATCTGGACCTGGCTCACGAGGTGACCGACATGCCGACCGAATTTATACCTCAGCCTCTCGGGTCATCTAAGGCGACTGGGACTCCGTGACTGGTCGGTCCAAGCTCAAATGCAGAAGGCAGTGCTCCTCGATACCGCCCGCATCGTCCGCAAGTTCCTTTCCCTTTCCCCAAAACCCTCGGCCGTTTGGTCTCCCCTGCCAAGGGCTTCCATCTGGTTGGGTTTTAATTTATTTATGTACTATTTCATGTATTTATTTTATTGATATTAATGTATGTATATCGTTTTCATTTACAATTATATATTTGTACAGCCCAACCAGTTGAGAAAATTATACAAATATCCCACATAATTTATTTATTGCGTTACTGTGTACAATAGTTAAGGTGACATATCATATAAGATATCAACAGTTGCCTCATCAGGCGTGCAATAGATTTGCAATATTATCTTACAAGATAAAATGTTTAAAAAATGGTTGGAACTTTTGGAATTATAAAATTCGTTTAACGTATAAAACGTATATTCGAAAGAAAGAAAGAAAGAAAAATTATTTATTACACCAAACACCAAAACACATGTTACAAAAGATATTATGCACTAAAAAACTTATAACTACAGATCAAAACAAAATTAAAACTTAAATAAAATCATTACAATCAAAATTTTATTATGTATGAGGGTTTGGTATAAAAGGGCTACACTCAGCAATATTTCGTGGTATTATCCACGAAGCTGGTTTTCAGTGCGCCCTCTAGTGAGTAACGTACGGTCGAATATGCAACAACCAGTACCACTATTACAACGCTACACTTGTTGCACCTACCACACATAAACACATAGTGAGTAAAAAACAAAAATAAAAAAGTGAAAAAGTGAGATGCAGATATTGCTGATTTTATAATAACAAACATCGCAAATTATTTATTACCTATTATAAAATATTAAATTATTTTATAATTATAACAATATAATAATTATAAAATCGACTACTATTACTACTTCTATTACATACTACAAAAATTTACTAGAACCTACATGTGACGTTTGCTAATAATGAGTATATTGTGTCTGTTTGGTGGCAGCTGTAAATAATATTTAAATACGTTTTTGTATATTGAGAACATGAATTCTGTATTTTTTTCTAAAAACTAATAACGATGTCAAACTACGCAGTGGGGGTGGTAAATCGTTCCAGCATTTTGAGGCTGCGTATCTAAAGCTACCCCGAAATAACTGAATACGACAGCTTGGAACTTTTAAAGACCACTTAGACCGCCTTGTTTCATATTTTTGCGTCTCACAGGAGTTGTCAAGTTTATTTGCGAGATAGGGTGGAGTACGATATTTTAATAAATTAAATAATAAACAAGCCATATGCAGATTGCGTCTACCTTTCATTTTTATCATATTAGCACTGTTAAGAAAAGGTGTGACATGAGTACGGGGTGGTATACTGAAGACAAACCGAGCACATGCGTTTTGAACCCTCTGAATAGTGTTTTCTGTTCGAGCGAGTAAGCGAGGACCATAAACAACATCCATGTAGTCAAATTTTGACAGCACCAGAGAATTAGCCAGCTGAATCCTAATACTCGTACTTAGCGAATCCCTAATTTGATAAAGAATTTTTAATCGGTAGAAACAATTTCTTGCGATCTCAGAGATATGTTTTTCAAATTTGAGCTCATCATCTACCATTAATCCAAGAATTCTAGCTTCCTCACCCTATTTACTACTTCACCACTAATCGATACATGCTGTCCCTTATTTACTATGTTTTTTATTTGGTGTTTTGTGCCAAGAATCAAATACTTTGACTTACTTGCGTTAAGTGCTAAAGTATTTGCTGCGGACCATTGAGCTATGCGTGCCAAATCTTCATTAATTTTTTGAAATGCGGAGAAAGTGTCACTAGGTTTACATGAAATATATATCTGAAGATCGTCTGCGAACATGTGATGCTTACAATGTATTAGGTTCTTAATGACGTCAGCGCTATATAGTATAAAAATTAATGGCCCTAAAATTGAGCCTTGAGGAACCCCACGTTTGACTTGTTTCGGTTTTGAATTAAGAATCATACCGTTTTCTGTTTTCAGCTCAACTTGTTGGGTTCTATGACTAAAGTAAATATCAAACCAATTAAGGGTATCTTCGCAAAAACCATAATATTTTAATTTAACCAATAATAAAGTAATATTTATGCAGTCAAATGCGCGAGAAAAGTCTAGTAGCGCTAATATAGTACCCTCCCCGTTATTAGCTGCTCCAAGTATATCATCGACCACTTCCAACATTGCTGTTGTTGTACTATGTGATTTTCGAAAACCTGACTGATTTATTGGTAATATATTTTCACTCTGTAAGTAATTACGTAATTTCTCTGCTATTATCTTTTCTAATATTTTTGAAACACATGGTAGTACACTAACAGGTCTTAAATCGTTTGGAGATGTGGGGCACGATATCTTAGGTACAGGTCTTACTACAGCAGCTTGCCATGCGGATGGGAAGGTAGACGTTTCGATAGATTTGTTTATAAGTGAGGTTACAACAGCGAGCGATTGATCAAGTGTTAATACAAGCATATCTAATGAAATTCCATCTAAACCTATTGCATTTGATTTGAGACTCCTTATGATTCTTAGCACATCACTCTCATTCACTGTTTTAAGTCTGAATATAGCAGAACTAAAGCGATGGTTTTGAAAGTAGGTTACTTCAGATAACGACAGACTGCTGTTATTGGGTAACTTTAAAAAGTGCTCGTTTAAAAGGTCTGGATTTGTAAAAATGTGGGTTGGGAGAACTGTTTTTTCTTTAATTCTTACATTCTTTTTTATATGTTTCCAGAGTAATTTAGGATTGTTCTTGTTGTTGTTAACATAATAATCAAAATAAGCACATTTTTCACGTTTAATCGCTTTTTCTAAAACGCGTTTCAATTCTTTATAAAATACAAAATGACTGTCAAGTCCGCTGTTTTTGGCTCTTTTATATGCTTCATCTCGACGACTCATAAGTTGCAATATATTATATGTTATCCAAGGATATCGTTCGCTTTTTATCCTTTTAACTTTAATTGGCGCGTGAATATCAAATTACTGAATTAAAATAGAATTGAGGGAACTCAGCATAATATTTACATCCGTAATTGAGATTAAATTCTTCCAATCAATATTAACTAGATCCGAGTGAAATGCATCCTTATTTATGAAATTAAGTGGTCTGCTATTTAATAGGTCTTGGTTTATTTATCGTGATATTTAATAGACATGTAACAAACGCGTGGTTGCCTAAGTTGTATATATAATCCACCGTAAGCTCGTATTTTTCGATGTCAGTGCATATTAGATCGATTATAGTTTCACTGTGCGATGTAAAATGTGTATATTCCGTTACACATTGGTTCAATTTAAAACATGTTAAAATCGTTTGCAACTTTTTAAAATCACTTGAATACATATTAGTTTTAGAATAAGTAATATTAAAATCACCTAGTAAAATTATATTGTGACTCCAATTAAATGTTTCCAATGAGAATGATAATGCGTCTATAAATTCATCTGTAGGAAGCCAAGGTGGCTTATACGCAGTTCCGCAAACAATTTTCTTACCAGATATAGTAAGTCCGAGCCACAACTGTTCAACCTGCGGTTAGGTGGGTGCGCAAGAACGCGTGCGGTTATCCCACGTCGGATTTAGAATCCGACTCCACCTCCGCGGGCACGCACGCTCGGCGAGCGAGGTATGTGTCGCAGTCGGTAACCGGGCACAGCGGGAGCGCGACCCTCCTCACCTGTCCGCAACCACGTTTCGTTGACTGCCATTACATCAACATCATGACGAGACATAGCTGCTGGAAATTCGTCATGACGTGTACCTAACGACCCAGCGTTTAATAGCCCAACTTTAAATTTGCCTTTGTTATTATATTTTATGTTTGTTTAAAAAACATAATACTTCAAACAGTAATGTGCACGTAATAATAAAATCCACCACCACTGAGTAATTTGTTAAATTTTGAGTAAAGCAGTAGAGAACAGTTTTTTTATATATTTTTAGGTTTAAGCACGTAGCCTTCGAAAATAATATTAAATACAGACATAATATACTTATAATATCTATATCATTATATGTGTTAATAGAATATAGCATTAATGTGAAACCCATAATGCAGTTTTGATAATAAACATAGGGTACATAGAAAACAATAAATAACTTACGTAACGTACTTCGTATTCGCTTATATTGATAAACAATTGTACTTGGTAGACATAATATTATAACATAAAAATATATAAGTTTAACTAATTTTATATAAAATTCATTTTGGTATGATGGGACTAATTGGCTCTGAACCAAAAACACGGTTTAAGTCATCTATACCCCCTAATACGATACGATGGTGACCCACTTTCTCGACGTGCAAGCACCCTGCCTTCTCGAGTCCAGATATAACGCCATCCCTTTTTACGGCCCTCTTCGCGGGCACTATAGAACAGAGATCGATTCCATTTAGATAGACGTTCGTTAACGTAGAACTTACGGATTTCGCCACGCAGTCCCAGTCCGCTGGTGTCGACGCCGCGACGCACGCGCGTCGCTCGCAGGAGCGCGTCGCGTACGGAACGACGCGCAAGGCGCACGACAATGGTACGCGGACGTGGTTGTCGCGGTGACGCCTCTCCCTCATTCATCGCTACCGCACCACCTACACGTCGCATACCCACTCTCTCACAGCTCACTACGTCACGATGTCCAATTCCACTCCTATTTTCTTTGCACAGGCTGTTACGATGTGCATAGTGCTCTCCCCACAGTCCTCCGGGATTCCGGATATTTCTATATCGTTCCCCAAGAGGTCTTGATCTCGCTCACGCAGGTCGAATTTTAGCTGATGGATAGTTTTTTCGAGTTCGCCCATGTTAGTTATGCTATGATCGGGTTTGGCCTGTTTTTCAATAATGTCTATACGTGTTTCTAAGTTGCCTATTCTTTCGTCATATGATCTTAAGAGAGCCTTAAGGTCCTGAACCTCCTGGCAGAAGGTTCGTAGCTCACTTTTGGTCTTACACATCTCCTCTCGAAACATACGCAATTCCATGGCTAGATTTTTATTGGCATCCAAAGAAGTGGTATTATCCACAGCAGGTATATTAATCTGCTCAGTATTCGTGGGTTTGTCCATTTCCATCTGAATAGATTTATTCATGCTACGTACTGGCGTATTTTGATTATTACCTTTTGGCATATTAACTACACAGTCAGGACATGTCCAGATTTTGGGTATTGGGTCTTTTGTTTTCATACCTAAACAAGCTTTGTGACACATACTGCTACATACATTACACTTAATGCCGTCTATCGCATTTTGGGTCATAAAGCGTTGACATGCACTGCACTTCATTGCGATGTTGTTGATCTTTTATAGATATCGTTATCGTTACTATTAACAGATGTAGATAAATTTACTTTAGTTAGTATAAATGTAAATTTATTTATAAAATTATTCTGTATTTAAACACTCTGCTATGCGTATGTTATTCACCGTTTTAATATCAATATCTGTAGTTTGAACATCGGAAGTCGTTTTCGATTGTTTGTAAATAACAGTCGGTATATGAAAAATAACTATTATCTTCCAACAAAAACGAAACTTACTTTATTTAGCAATACTCGTATATTTGAACCTTTTTAATTCAAACACACAATTTTAACACAAATAATATTTCACTAATTTTATCCAAAGAATATAACTTTATGCTATTTTTAATGCAATTATTGAAGAGCTACTTGCCGTTAGCACAACGACCGTAACGTCACTCCACCAACTAGTGTTTTAGTTTATGTTTGAATTTTGGTCCTTTCATTCCTTTAATACTATTGAGTAAGTGATTGAATACTTAAAATTGCTGTTATATTTGCACTTTTGTATAACATTTCACTTTTAATTTTAGGTAGAGAAAGATCATTTTGATAGCAAGGGCGTAAATTTTGCCGCGTTGAAAACTTCTATTTAAATAATCGCAATTATTTTTGGTAAATAGGCACAAATCTAAGATTAAATTTCATTTCATTCCGGTTAAGATTTTTTTTAATAAATTCCTTAGGCTTTCTCTATTTGTCTTATGGTATATGATACGCAAACATTTCTATAGTATAAAAGTTTAATTTATGTTAGTTGCATTAGCCCAAAAAAATTTACTGTACAATAATAGTGGATAAATATAACCATAGTATGCATTTTAGTAACAGATTTAGAGGTTGAATAAGAACGTATTTAATGAACATAGCAATAACTTGACTTTTTTGTTAATCTTTTCTAAGTGTGGTTTTCAATTGAGGTGAGAGTCAAGTTTAACTCCAAGAAAGCTTGTATTATCTACTAACTCTAAGACTGAGCTACTAATTGCGATTTTTAAATGGATTGGATTGGTCTTATAATTTCTAAATTGGAGAATTTTAGTTTTAGTTTTATTAATTGTTGGGTTAAAATACTTTAACCAGATCACTAAGTCTTTGTGAATTTATTAATTTCACTTTATAGTTCTAAATTATTTATTAGCTTACCGGTATAAAGAACTGTAGCATCGTCAGAAAACATTATTTTTAAATGTTTGGTGATATTAAATATTTCGTTAAAATATATTTAAAACAAAGGGGGTCCGAGTATACTTCCTTGAGGTACACCAATGTAGACTTTTTTAAACTTAGACTCAACTGTTTCAATAGTTTTAGTATTATTATTATATTTCTCAAAAATCATTGCTTAGTAGCGATCTTCAAGGTATGATTTAAATAGTTTTAGAGCAATTCCGCCAATGCCAATATTTTCCAATTGTATCAGTAAAATTTCATGACTAACACAATCAAACGGTTTTGTCATATCTATGAAAAGAGCAAGATATGAATTTTTCCGTCCATATCTTTCCAAATATATTTCATGATTTTAAATATGGCTAATGACATGTTTTTTTCCTTTTTGAAATCCATATTCATTAGGATTTAAAACTTTATTAGTATTAACAACATTCATTCGTTTATTATGAATAACTTTTTCGAAAATTTTGGAAAAGGGTGTTATGGGTGTTGTGGGTCTGTAATTATTTGTGTCTTGTCATCTCTTTTTGTAAATAGGCTTTATAAGAGCAATTTTCAGGTCATTTGGAAATGTGCCTCTTTCTAACATTAGATTTATTAAAATTTCTACCATTTCAGTTAGCTCATTGAATCAATTTTATACCCGTTATTATTTTTATATTTTATGGTGTTTTCTATTGAATTGGTGTTATTTTTTATCAAGTTCCATGTAGCTTTTATTTTATTAACACTAGATTCAATATATTTAACATTCGATCTTTTTCGATTCAACTATTACCACTTTCATTATTCTACAATATTCTTTATATCTAATTATTTTAATAAAATATTTATTATTTAATAATGATTTCTTTTATTTTCGCGAAGACTACACATTAAATGAAACTTATTTTAACGGATTTAATCGCGTTTAATTTAACTTTTTAATTCTCGACGTTTCGGGTGCTTTACAGCACTCGTGGTCACGGGGGGAGAGGACTGACGTGTTTGACATCCCGATGTCATAGTTATCCCGGCTACCTTCAGTTTTTGAATATTAGTTTTTGGTCCGATCTACGCAGAATGAGCTTACAGTATTTCGAAGTCTTGCAATGGTATGCTTAGGTGTGGATTTAATATTATTAATTACAGGATCTCAAGCAGATGGCAGCACCCATCCATCTTCTCTATTGAAATTAGGATGATTTTTTTTTAATTTCAATAGCCTCGCGAATCATCCTTGGTAGGAATCGGTGTTCTTTTGCGAGGATTTGTGAAAAAATGCGACAAGTAGTTGTCTTGATGTTAACCTAGCAGTACCCAAAAATTCTAAAGGGACCTATATATGAGAAAATCTGAGGGTGCAAAGTCAGGACTATATGGTGGATGAATTAACACTTCCCAACCAAGCTCTCTCAATTTGTGCTGAGTGGCCAAATACGTGTGTTGTTTGGCGTTATCATAATGAAAGACCACTCCTTTTCTCTTGATCAATTCTAAGATATAAAATAAAAAACCAAAATAAATAAATAAACTAAAACTAGTAACTTAATTATCATATAGTCCTACTCTCCGCGGTATCGTACCAAGAACGCTGTCTGCGTTTCCTCGCAGAATAGATATAACATCATTTAATAAGATGTCATATACTCTGCCTCGTTGGTCTAGTGGTCGTAGTAGTGCGACTGCTGATCTCGAAGTCCCGGGTTCAAATCTTGGGTCAGACCAAAAAAACACAGTTATCAAGAAATTCTCAGTAACTGCCGGAGTCTGGGAGTTGGCGGTGTCTTACCCCCGTGCCTCGGAAATCACGTGAAGCCGTTGGTCCTGCGCCTGATCTCTTTCTATTCGTGTCGGTTTCCCATAGGACTATGAGAGTGAGGGAATAGAGAGTGCAAGTATGATTGCACGTACACTTGGCTACTATAATCCAGTCCTGCGCCGATGGCTATTCTTCGTTGAGGCTGGCCACCGTGACCTAAATTCGGTCTGAAAGACATTACATGCAGGAATTAAATGAATGCTGGTGGCTTGCGACCGTGCATTTGTGGCGTTCCCTGCGGGAGGCCTATGTTCAGCAGTGGATTTTCGAAAAGCTGTAATGATATTGATGACTCATGTAAAACAAGTGGAATATGGTCGGTTTAAAGTTTTTAACCTATTTGAATCATGTCTTCTTGAATAGAATAGAATAGAATAGAAGCAGGGTTCTCTAGTTTAAAATAATTATAAAGCTCTACCAACAACTTTCGATTGCTCTAGTGAATATTCATTCTTCCAAGGGATACCTACTACGTTACGAACTATGTTACTCAACAACCACAACGTATATAAGGGTCCTAATTAAGACGATAATGCCATGCATTTATAAAACTAAACCTTTAGAAAGATACTTGAGAAAGATCAATGTATGTGTAGGAAGTATAGTGGGTATAGTACAGAGACTGATTTTGTAGTTAGGAATAATAATTAATTCGTTTACACGAATTAATTATCCAACGAGTCGAGGATAAACTAGTAACGCAATACGACAAGCGCACCGTTCCACGTCAGAGCCAAGACTCTCTTAACGGCGGCCGCTCAGTCCGTTTTATACAAGCAGGACGGGTGGCAACGCAGGTGTAATGCCGCAGGTGTGCGGTACACGTGTCGTTTACAAGAATTCTGTCTAGCTAGACCGACGCAACCGCATCTGCAACGGTGCAGGTGCCGTCACGGCCATACTGACATGCGTGCGTCCTCGCACGCGCTCCATCACAATTTTAGTTATCTGTAAAACATCGTTCGATTATCCTGACAAAACAGCGTCTGGTCCGATCTATACTGACCCTTCAGACTCGGGTGATAATCAGTTTTGTTCCGGCTGTATGTCCTACAAAACTTTTATCATCTTTATGTTAGATCGGAATGATTAGTCTGTAGCTTTTTCTACTTTCTCTTTTTTTACAAGTACTGTTTTCGCTAGTCCGGAATCACTATTCCCTATAGCAATATCACTGGACCGGCACAAAGCCCTGCAATGATAGTAAGAACTATTCTTTTTTCTTAACCTCTTTTTTTTTCAGTACTATATATGCTAGTCCGGAATCACTATTCCCTTTAGCTATATCATTGGACCGGCAAACGCCCTGCAATGATAGTAAGAACCACATTTTTTTTTCTTACTCTCTTTTTTTTCAATTTAGTATAGAACAGTTACAGACCAACCATACCGCAAACATGTCCCCGTCACAATCACACAAAAGTGTATCGTTAGGGACGTAGTGACACGATAACACCTAAGTATGTAAACCAACAGCAACACGACACATATCCCAGTGCAGCACAGACCAGCCTCCCTGCAACTTCATGTTCCTTTCCTGCACTAGAATAATTACTTCGCTAGAGTGTTGCAACGTCTCTAGTATTTTCTAGATGCACAGACACGGCTACCTCTGACTGTCGCACGTCCTCGTGCGGTTGACAGTGAACAGCATACGGTCTATCAGTTATCACCACCTGCTAACAGATATTAACTCTTGTAAAATATTACAACGGTCGACCATCCCAGACTTCATTTAAGTCTGGAACGCGCCAATATGGCTACCTCCAGGCAAACGCACTACAGCTTTTCATTCTGCTGCGTTCGTGCCACATTCGCGCCAGCAAGCCGTCGCGCCATACTAGCGCTAGCGAATCGTCGCACTGCTTTGCAAAATTAAAAGAAATCGAGATAAATGTATTGCGAACCATGGAATTCCGAACTTCCAAAATTCATCACACATTCTCTTAAGAAACGGCAACTGTATGACATTTGAAAACATTGCAGAAAACGGAAACTATGTGTAG